AAATTGACCCCAACCACCCCCTCTTGGGATGGATTCCAAGAAGATAGTGAATCTTATGGCATAAGATTACGCGTAATTTCCAGACTGTCGTTCGATATGTAAACAAAATCCTGTCACGCTCTTTTCAAAGCAGATGTTTACTGAGCAAGCTTTCTTTGAAGCTCTTCTTTCGCTTCTTGGTAGATCTTTTTGCGAGATTCCTCGGAAAGATCTTTTACGACTGTTTTTTTATTTCTTATGTCCGTCTTTAATTTCTCGTACTTTTCCTCTTCGGCCAGAATAAGCGAGAATTCTACGTTGTCTATCTTTCTGTCACGCAAAGCCTTTGAGACAAGGTCAGTGATCGTATTTACTTTAGCCCTTGACAGAGCTATTGTCGTGTCATGCTTGGATATTTTACCGGACAGTTGCTTCATAATGCCCGTAGCAACAGCCGAAATAATACCACAGGCTGCCCCAACGCCGGCCAAAGGAACTCCAACAATTATTCCCGGCCCAGTGAGTGAGGTAGCAACGCCAGTGCCCGTTAACACAACAGAAATGGATCCTGAAGTTATCGCAATCTTATGTAGCGTACTCCGGGCTCTGACGTACTTTTTTCGGACTTTTTCATAGTGTTTTGTTTGCCCTTCCAAGTAAGCCAGGATTAAATTTGCTTTATTCAAGCGGAAGTTCTCGGCGTTTAATTCGTTAGGTTCCTCCCTAGGTAAATCAGGATAAAGTGGAGGTGCTGATGGTATAACATCCATTATATATACTAATGTACGACGCCTTTGGGAATAACATAGAGGAGCAGCCACATAACAGCCACTGGAATTGGGAAGCATTTAAGAAATTGTATCCCAAAGCAGTAACCTCGAAGTTTGAAAGCAGATCTGACGGGATTTACTTCAAAGAGTATAATGACTTAGTTTACAGCAATAAGGATTTGGAGGAGGGATTGGAAAAGTTACACCCAAAAACACCCGTTCATAAGCCCGTTTATAAAGCACCTAATTTTCCAAGGAATCTATTAATGACCAAGGAAGATTACCCGTTTTACGATGCCGAAGGTGGTGTAAACAACTTTGAAAAATTGGTAACGCATTTAGAGATTTTAGTGGGTAAGCAATCATTTAACGTAATACTAAGAAATATCTATAAGAMTACGATGTTGAAGCATACGTCAGGTAAAGAGTCCAGGGAATGGTTAGCAGGGCCCAACATGCGGTATTGGCCGCAGCAGTTAGACTTTGCTATTTGGGCTGCCACTAAAGGTTGTGGTGTTGCCGCGGACATGTTTCATATTTCATTTATGCGGTTTCACGTTGCCTTTACGGTAAGGAGGTTGTTGAAGGAGATTAACGTACCTTTACCGGGAGATGGGGCATTTGATCCAATGAATAACCGCTACGACTCCGCTGCCCTGGAAAGGTTAATTAATGAGTTCAAACCACAGCAAAAAGATTTTCGTTATAAGGAGGGTAAGACGCATGGGTTGGGTATAATTTACGTTTGGGGTGCCAATGGTGAGAAGCCAGCCGACTACGGGCATCAGGAATACCCAAGTGATGAGTTAGAGTTCGGTGATATGGGTGGTGATAAGGGCAATAATTCATTAATTACTAGGATTCAAACGAACTACCCCGGCACTTGGGATCCGTTCGTGTTAATGAAAGGAAAAGGTTTAAGGAATTTCGCTAGGATTAACCGCAGCATAGAGGCATTCGTGTACTGCATCCTGGGAGCGCAGGTAAATACCCGCAGCCCCATTGTTGGATCCAAAGGCGCTTCACAGGAAACGCAACAAGAATTCCTAACCCTGTTTGAGTCCGCAATAATAGAAAATGACATATCTAAATCGGTGCAGAGATATCAATTAGCAGTGCAGCAGTCTAAAGTGCGACTGGATTACGCTTTGTCGCCTGGTTGTTGGTTAATGCCAAGTAACTTGGTTATTAACACCAATTCCGTTGTGGGTTATAACAACAAGCTGCAGCGAGCTACTAAGGATATGAAGTTTGGGGTGAATGACGTGAACTCTGACATGACCAAGGGCATTACTCACTTCGTAGAGAAACCAAAAAAAGAGGTAGAAAAACCATTAAAAAAGGTGTACGTGCCGCCAAAGAAACCAGTAAAGAAGGTTACCGAGGAATATGACCATAACTTACTAAAAGCCGGGCTAGCAGCTGCAAGCATTGGTCTGAGCTATTATATATGGCGATGAACAACCCCTACGTAGCTGGAGTAGATTGTGTTTATACGACTTACACAGGCGAGAAAAAATATACCCTACCATCTTGGGTTGATGTCGCGGGTATGTCCGTGAATTTGAACTACTCRGGAAAGAAGTTAATCCTTTGTAGTATTTGCATTGGCACGAGCAGCCACGCCAACGTCGGCTTTAGGTTCCTGGATGACAATGGCGTACTGCAGCCTATGCGCGCGAAGACAAACAACAGGGAGCCTGTACATTTTTCCGTAGAACCAAATGCTAGTAGCGCCGAAAATCTATCAGTTTGGACTTTTTACATGGTGACCGATTGTCATGGGAAGGTAAAGCTGCAGATACGCGTAGATGATACGGGGAGTGTTTGCGTAAATAGTATAGAAAATCAGAGAGATGAAAGATATAACCACGCAACTATTAGCACTCTTACGGTAATGAGTCTATAGAAGGAAATTTATTTGCTGAAATATATGAATCCACACGCGAAGGAGGATTGGTTTCTTCATTATTTGAAGGAAAAGGTGTACTTACACAATGACGATTGGGTTGACACTGGATTGTGGGTGGAGGCTGGAGGTTTAGCATTGATTATATGTAATATTCACGTTAGCGTGAAGGAGGAATACGCCATTGGATTTAGAATCGTAGATGATAATAATTATCCATTACCACCTTACAGGAAAAAAAAGAATAAAAGAGATCCAGTTCATTTTTCATACGAACCAGGAGATACTCTAGATGACATAGCGTTAATAACTTTTCATATGATAGTTAATTGTCGATACGCAAAGCTTCAGATTAATACTTACGGAGAAAGCGGTTTTAATATTTACGTTTTGATAAATGCTGTTGCATCACAATCCGCTATACCGGGTGATTCTGCTTATAATCACAAGACCATTTCTACCATGACCGCCATACCTTTAGTTCCGCATTATCAAGGCGGCGCGAATACTATCTTTACTTATCCCCAGTCGAGGACGCCCAGGAGGACTGACGACGATAAGCCACCAGTAAAATACAAGGATAAGATTAGCCCTTCATCTTCTTCAGGAGTACCACCCCAATAGCTACTACGAGGATCCAAATGTTATTCCCCACGAACTTCAACAGTTCGCCGCCGGTCCTAAGTACCAAGGAAACAACCGAACCAAGCAGCCCAGGAAGACCGGCTGCCATCTTTTTTCCCAAGTCCGTCAGTCCACTACCTAATTTCTTTACGCCCGCGCCCGTAGCCTTAAGCGTGGATAGGATAACTCCTACTACGGTGCTAATAGCAACCGCAAATACCAGCGGCACGCCATACTTCACCAGAGCTCTTTTTATCTTTTCCTTGGCGGTAAGCCCTAATTCTCTTTCCAGGTTTTCCCTTTGCGCTTGTAATTCCGCAAGGCGTACCTCAAGGGCTTCTACTTCCTTCCTAGCAGCCTCCCTTTCCTCTTCGGAGCGAGTTTGGTCCGCAGCTACTTCCTGCTGCCGCTCTATTCGACCCTGCAGGTCTTCGATGGTCTCCTGAAGTYGTCTTATTTCCAGATCCTTTTCAGCCATTTGTGCTATGATACGCCTTTCCCTG